AGAGAGAGAACAAGTCTCATAGTCTGCTGCAGGAGAGCGTAATGGTCAACAGGAATTAACCACTGGCCCCACTTTGGCACCTCTAAGGAGCATCTTCTAGAACTTTGAGCAGAGCCTGGATTCTCTCAGGCCCTCAGATACCTCCTAGACATGTGCAGAGGACCTGGCCTGTGTCTGTCCATTAGTCCACGCATACAGGCTACAGGGAGGAAACAGGGAAAGCCTAAGAAGGGCTCATGGTAGAAGGGGGACAAATGAGGGGATTCTTGACAGCTCCTGAGAAGGACAGAAAACAGGAAGAGTGTGGATGGATAATGTGAGAAATCCACAGGGTCTGCTTAAGAAGTATTAGGGAAATTTACTAGGATAAATTGAGGAAATACACTCACGAATACAGAACTAAGTAGATAGCTGAAGTCATCCTCTGATCTAACCAGGAGCAAATCTACCTGGCAGTTGGATCACACCAGAAGGCAGAAAGCATGGAGCAGGGCTCATGACCCTTCTCCCTTTCCTTTTAAGAGGTCATGTACAACCGTACTATGACAAGAAGCACCGCCTCCTTCTGCCACCATATAGCCCAAGGTCATGGGTGGAGCAAATACCACTACAGATGGCTGCTATCCACTCACCATTGTGTATCACACTCACTATGACCAGAGTTCTGGTTCTCTCTGGTCCAAATCTACCCCCTTCATGGGGCCCATTGCACTTGAGTTGTAGAATAACAAAAGCTATAGTTTTCTCTAAATGCTTTATTGCCACAGACAGCTAGGAGCATGGCTACTTTGGCACAGCATGATGTAGGTATGAGCTGCAGTGTGGTGGGGCTTCGTGGTCTGGACCAGGTCCTTGGAGCAGGCAGGATGGACTCCGGCACAGTAGCTATGTTCCCACATGTGTCCTATCCATTAGATGAAGGGTGACTGTTTCCAGCCATCTGTCACTGTGCTCCGGGTCCTCTCCTGCTGAGTTTCCTAATGTCAGTCCTCATCATGTTCTGGAATCTGAATCCTGCTCCATCAGCCTCTCTAAGGCATCTCCTCCTCCACATCTGCTCACCATGACACTTCCTCTCTTTCACTAGACCCTGACTGATGCTATTCGTACTGACTGCAGCCCTCACGGACTGAGCTGCAAAGAACTAGCTCCTGTTTCATGTCAGCTGTTCACAGATTAATCCATTATTTCAAACACGCCACTCAAAGCACTTCAGAGGGCTGGGGAAATGGCAACAATGGATAGAAGTGCTTGCTGAACAAACATGAAATCCAACCAGGCATGGCAGGCCCTGTAATCCCAGAACTCAAGAGACAAAGGCAGAGGAGGCCCATAGCAAACTGGCTAGCTGGTCTAGCCAATCGGTGAGCTCCGGTTTCAATTGAGAGACCCTGACTCAATAAGTAAGATCCATCGAGGCAGACAGCTGACATCAGCTGTGGGCCTCCGAGAGAGAGTGAGTGTGTGTT